AAAATACAACTTCCTCTTTATTCAAAAAATCTTCTTAGATCTTTTCCAAAAGAAGTGACAAATTCTCCTCTTAAAATTAGAGCACCTTGTGATTAAGTGATTAATGATTAAGATATAAGGAGAACAGTAATTTTAGAAGTTGCTAAATATAAGAAAAATAATAATCACTTTCTGGTAGAGGATTATTTTAAAACTGTGGAGTTTTAAATGATATTAATATCTCATGGTAATTTTTATCCAAGTGGTCAATTAATTATCCTGTATGAACATTCCATAAACTGATTGAGTTATTGTAATTACTAAATGCTAGAGTAGTACCATCAGGAGAGATGCAGATTGAATTTGCATTATCACTAAGATCATCCAATTATGTTTTTTATTCTCCAGTTTTCACATCCCATAAACGGATAGAGTTATCATAACCTCCAGATGCTAATGTAGTTCCATCGGGAGAGTAACATACCGACAAGACAGTGCTAGTATGACCAGCTAATTTGGCTTTTTTTAATCCTGTCATAACATCCCATAAAAGGATAGACTTATCACAACCACCAGACGCTAATGTAATTCCATCAGGAGAGAAACAGACTGAATTTACTTTACCACTATGACCATCCAATAATGTTTTTTATTATCCAGTCTTCACATCCCATAAACGGATAGAGTTATCATGACTACCAGATGCTAAAATAGTGCCATCAGGAGAGAAGCATACTGAATAGACAGTCTTAGTATGACCATCTAATTTGGCTTGTTATACTCCTGTCTCAATATTCCATAAACGAATTGACTTATCATAACCACCAGATGCTAATGTAATTCCATCAGGAGAGAAGAATACTGACAAAACAGTGCTAATTTGTTTAGCTAATTTGGCTTTTTTTAATCCTGTCCTAACATCCCATAAAAAGATAGACTTATCATCGCTACTTGATGCTAAAGTATTACCATTAGGAGAGTAGCATACAGATAAGATAGAATCGGTATGACCATTTAATTTGACTTGTTATTAACCTGTCTTAAGATCCCATAACTGGATAGAGTTATCTCCACTCCCAGATGCTAAAGTTTTTCCATCTGGTGAAATGCATATACATAAGACAGAATCAGTATGACCATCCAATTATGTTTTTTATTATCCCGTCTTCATATCCCATAAGCAGATAGAATTATCATGACTACCAGATGCCAATGTAGCTCCATCAGGAGAGATGCATACTGAGTAGACAGTGCTATAATGGCCATCTCGTTTGTCTTTTAATTATTCTTTCTAAATATCCCATATATGGATAAAGTTATCATAACTACCAGAGGCTAACTGAGTACCATCAGGAAAGAAGCATACTGAGTTGACATTATCACTATGACCATTTAATTTGGCTTATTATTATCCTGACTTAACATCCCATAACCGGATAGAGTTATCTCCACTTCCAGATGCTAATTTAGATCCATCAGGAGAGAAGCAGACTGAGAAGACACTGCTTATATGACCGGCTAATTTGGCTTTTTATTATCCTGTCTTCACATCCCATAATAGGATAGACTTATCTCCACTACCAGAGGCTAAAGTTGTTCCATCAGGAGAGAAGCAAACTGAATAGACTGAATTAGTATGATCATTCAATTTTACTTTTTATTATCTTGTCTTAAAATCCCATATATATATAGACTTATCCTAACTACTTGATGCTAATATAGTGCCATCAGGAGAGAAGCAGACTGAGTAAATAGTTTGAGTATGACCATCTAATTTGGCTATTTATTATCCTGTCTTAACATCCCATAAAAGGATAGACTTATCTTCACTACCAGATGCTAAAGTTGTATCATCAGGAGAAAAGCATAATGAGTAAATTGAGCAAGTATGACCATTCAATTTAGATGTTTTTTTTCTTGTTCTAATATTCCATAAAAGGATAGACTTCCCATGATAACTAAATGCTAAGGTAGTGCCATTATGAGAGAAGCATAACGATTGAATTGCACATTAATGACCATCAAATTTTGCTTTTTATTACCCTGTCTAAACATTCCATAATCGAATAGAGTTATCCCAACTACAAGATGCAATAGTAGTTCCATCAGGAGAGATACATACCTATTTCACACAACTAACATGGCCTTCC